ATAACTTACGAAAGTATTTGCCTAATAAATTGAGGGAGTATAGCACACTGAGGCAACTTAGATCGGTCAGCATAGGTGTTTAACGTTGTAGCATTGTTTATACTTCCATACCTGGTAAAAACTCTAACCGATAAATCTTCGTCATAATCCGCAGCATCAACAAAAAGGCACAATATGTCTTACGGAAACTGGGTACCTCGCTTCTCGTTAAAATGATGAACAATACTTCTACTTATAATAGATATGACTTTCAGGCAGTGGCAATCTTTTAACTTCATTGGGTAACGACTCGATGTTGCAAACTCTCTTGCCTTAAGAGAGTTTCCAACAGACTCTAGAAAAGCCACTCCTAATGCTTTCGCTGACTGAGATGTGTGTTCGGCACATGCCTAGTTTTTAATTGCGAAGCATTTCTTAGCGAACTTTGGCGACATTGAGCGTATCTATCTATCTATCTATTTATCTATCTATCTATCTATCTATCTATCTATCTATCTATCTATCTATCTAGCCGCCTACGGCTTTTAGCTCTCCTGGCCGTTTCGATAATGGCATCAATACTGAACTTAGTATGATATAATATGACTGAATAAAGAACATATTTGACTAGTCATAACAATAAAACCATGACATGAATGTCATGAATGTCATGATTTACATTTTATGGTTCTGCATCTCTTGCGGCGGTTTCATTCTCATGACATGTTGAAAAACTGGTATGGTATGGCATGACTGTATGGCAAACACAAGCAACAGACCCTAACATGAAAATCATGGCATGCGTGTCATGTGACAACATTACTACATGCCACGCTCATGATGCGCTCACGATCGTTTCGCTTGGGTCACGTGTACCAAGTTTGGTATTACAGTACGCGAATGGATGACGAAGGTATGATAACGCTGCAAACATGACAAACATGAGATGCATGTCATGTACCAACATGACTACATGCTGCGCTCATGATGCGCTAGCGGCCGTTTCGATAGCTCCACAAGTACCAAACTCCGTAATACGTGACGCGAATGGACAACATTTGTAAACGACACGTCCAAACAAGATAATCATGATATGCGTGTCATGTAACAGCATGACTACATGGCACACTCATAATGCGCACGCGGCCGTTTCGATAACTTCACATATGCAAAGTTCTGTATTGCGTGACGTCCCTCCTTCGTGACGTCCAGCGTCCCTCCTTCATGAAAAGAGGCAGACGCAGTGTTGTCTAGGTAATGCATTGGCGCGAAACGCCGAAATGCACCATGTCGCATTTTGCGCCGCTTACCGTCGGGCTGCACCGAAGGATGCTGGTCGCGCGTGGCGTCAGACTATAGAGTGTTCGCGTCACGTTTTGCTAACGTAGCGTCGCTGTGCCCAGCGTGCGAGCGCTTCAACGCTACGTTGGAGTACATTGAGCTCTTCATAATGCGCTCGCGGCCACTTTGCTAGCTCCACATATACTAAACTTGGTGCTGCGTGACGTCAATGGATGACGAAATATATGAATGCTGCAAACATAATCTAAACACGCGCGTCATGTAAGAACATAACAACATACCACGCTCAAAGCGTGCTCGAGGCTGTTTCACTAGCTCCACATATACTAAATTTGGTATCACGTGACGTGCGTAGATGACGATAGTAAAAAACACGTCCAAGCATGGTAATCATGGCATAGAAGTCATGTACTGCATCATTTACTTCCACCTCGCAAAGCTGTGCTGATTTTAAAGTGATATACCAACATCCATCATTCGTGCTTCACATATCATCAATTTCCACTGTACGTGGGATCTGCCATTTTTTTCTACAATTGATTACCAAACGTACAACATCGTTAATACCTATATGATAGGCTTGTTGTGTTTTTGTCCCAGCTACATACCGCCGTACCTGCAGTGAGTCATCGCTAGTGGGCTTGCGTTTGCAAAGATAGATTTAGCCAACTGATACGCATCGAAGGCAAGCTCACCGCGGAAATTTACGGAGCAATCTTAGACGATGTACTAATTTGGTACGTTCTTGATGACCCGTTGCCGAAGGCGACAATGCGTTTCAACATGACAAGTCATCAATACATACAGATTGTGCAGTGCAAGAGGTTCTTGAAGAGGGCTCATGCAGTCAGTGCCATAAAGTGCGCGTGCCAATTCCCAGACCTGAATAATATTAAAATTTTCTCGGCTTCTTACAAAAGATTACTGATGCGCCATTCATTGCACAGGCTTTGTGAGAATAGGTTTTGTTCTAGCATCGTCAGTGAGTGGGACCTGCTGCGAGAGAATTGGAGCGTATCTATCTATCTATCTATCTATCTATCTATCTATCTATCTATCTATCTATCTATCTAGCCACCTACATTTAGCTTTCCTGGTCGTTTCGATAATGGTATCGATACCAAACTTGGTATACCGTAACATGACTGTATCAAGAACATATCTGACTAATCATAACATGAAAATTCTGATATCTATGTCATAAACGTCATTATTTTTATTTCTTGGTCATGCAGCTTTTACGGTGGTTTTGTTTACATGGCATGTTGAAAAACTGGTATGGTATACCATGATTGCGTGGCGAACACAAGCGGCAGACTCTAATATGAAAACATGAGATGCGTGTCATGCAACAACATGACTATATGCCACGCTTATGATGTGCTGGCAGCCGTTTCGCTAGCTTCACTTATACCGAATTTGGTATTACGGGACGTGAATAGATAACGAAGGTATGATACTGGTGCTAGAAGCCAAGCAGGTCGGGTCATCTGAGCCCGTGCAGGAAGCCGAGGCAGAGGACGGGGATGACGGCTCTTCCGTCACATCCCGCCTGACTAGCGTCTCCCGGCAGGACGCGGACACGGTAGTTGTACCAGCTTCCATTACCGGATCCATCGGTCGCATCGAGTCCCTAGAGCGTAAAAACCGAGCAATTAGAGGTGAGCGTGGCAGCCCTCCCCACTCAAATCATGTCGGCAGTCCGCGAGTCCTTTCAGGACATGTTCACGGCAGCCTTAACGCAAGCACTTCCCGAAATTGTGGCGCAGGTCTCTAACTAAGTCCTTAAAGCCGTGCAGCCCTGGGTTATCGCCCAAATTAAAAACACCATTCAGAGCGACTCCCAGCAGGTTAAACGCAAGCCGGCCTCCCGTCAGGCAGCAGAAGAAGGCTTTTCCGGGCCGGCTCCTATCCGGACCGGTCCTCTGCACCGTAAATAAATACTAAAAGATAGCTAGCCGATCTAACAAACAAGCTAAATATCTACAAAAATTTTAGATTATACAATGGAACTGCGGGGGTTTTAGAGCCTGGAAAAAACGGTCGCACCTCCAGCTCTACTTGCAGTCCCTCGGAAACATGCCCGCCTTGCTTGCTTTGCAGGAGCCCGGTTTGGACGTTAAATTCTCTGGCTATAGCACTTTTCAGGGGGGGGCCCTCGTCATGCATCCTGGTGAACAAGGCATATACCGCGATTCAGGTCGATTTAAACATAAGTACTGAACAAGAATACACAATGGTCAGAGTACTGCCTCTCAGACGTCGCGACCAGTCAATACACATCCTAAATATATACAGCCCCCCGCATAAGCCACGCGTAACTTTTAGTGAAATCTTCCTCCGGGCGATCAAGTTGGCAGACAAGGACCCCTTAGTGATCGTGGGAGACTTCAATGCTCCCAGCCTTCACTGGGGCTATCACTACAAGAAGGCCAGAGGACGTAAGCTGGCGGAGCTTATCTCCACCCTTCGCCTCACGCTGCTCACGGATCCGGCGTACCCCACTCGAGTGGGGAACTCGGTAACCCGTGACACGTGTCCGGACCTCTCTCTCATAAAAAATGCTAAGGATGCTACCTGGGAGAACTTGGGCGATTCTCTAGGCAGTGATCACTGCCTTCTCCGGGTCACACTTGAGAAAAGTCAGCTCATAAAAAATGCGATCAAGCGAAGTTGACCGATTGGACCCAATTTCGCAATCAGACTATCCCTCCCGTACTATTTTCTGGAGGCTATGCAGAATGGGCTCAACACGTAAACAACATTCAGAAAAGACTTATTACTACCCTCCAAGCCAACGAAGAAATCGCCGCAGTTGACACTCACCTCATACACTTGTGGGAGGCGCGCCGAAGCTCAACAAAACGTTGGAAAAAGCAGACGACTAATCGCAAATTACGTATCCGCATAGCCCAACTCACGGAACAGGCCGCAGCGTATGCTGCCCAACTCTCAGATTCAAATTGGATAGCCCGCTGCGACACCGCAGCTCGTCAGATGAGCTCGAAGGGGACATGGCGTCTCTTTCGCAGTCTCATAGACCCCTCTCAAACGAGAGGGGAGGCGCAGAAGCAGCTCCGGCGAGCCCTTCCAGGGTACCAAGGCACTCCGGCACAGCTTGGGGATGCTTGAAAAATTGAATTGCTGCACAAACTTGAAGAAAAAAACAAGAGAGACAGGAAAAAGTGCAGGAACTGCACTCTTTCCTGTCTCTCTTGTTTTTTTCTTCAAGTTTGTGCAGCAATTCAATTTTTCAAGTATGAACCAACTAGTCTGCAAAAAAGTATTGGGGATGCTCTGTGCGATTGGTATTTCTGTCGTACGGAGGACCCGCCTGGACTAGGAACGCGTACTCTGGTAAGCCTAATCACCAACTCGATGCCCGTTTTGAGTTGCATGACCTTAAAGCGGCTTTAGCTAAAATGCGCAGGGGTACGGCTCCGGGGCTGGACCGTATAACAGTAAAGCTGTTGGCAAACCTCCCTGACACAGCCTACCTCCATTTATTAGAATACATGAACGAGATCGGGGACGGCCGTGCGCTCCCTTTCGAATGGAAAACGTCACTTGTGACTTTTATCCCCAAAGCAGGCAAGGCCGTGAACACGGGAAATCTGAGGCCCATATCACTGACTTCGTGCGCGGGCAAGCTTATGGAGACGATGGTAAAGGATCGTCTCTCCCCATACCTTGAGGGCAAGGGCTTCTTTGCAGACTCCATGTTTGGGTTTCGCCCACACATGTCTGCACAGGACGTCCTTCTCCAGCTCCATAGGGCCGTCATACAGCCAAAAACTATGCAACACAATGATAAAGCCATCCTCGCCCTAGATCTGAAGGGGGCCTTCGACAATGTTAAGCACAGCAGCATCCTGGTTAACTTGAGTTCCACCGATTGCGGGGCTAAGGCCTTTGCATATGTCAGAGATTTTCTCTCTAAACGCCAGGCACTTCTTCGGATCGAGGACGAGGAATATGGCCCCTACAATATGGGAACACGGAGTACCCCACACGGAGCAGTGTTATCACCGCTCCTTTTCAACATTGCTATGATGCGCCTTCCAAGCGAATTGGCCAGGGTCGAAGGCACAAAACACGCAGTATATGCCGATGATATTACAATCTGGACCACTGAAGGGAGCCCTGGTGAAATGCAGGAACGCCTTCTGCAGGCCGCTGCCGTAGTCGAGGCTTATGCCAACGATTGTGGACTCCAATGTGCTCCAAACAAATCAGAGCTTATGCACGTTAGAGCGAAGCCAAGAGATAAGTCAGCCATACACATCTCCCTGTCTGCGGTTCCCATCAGAGAGGTGGAGGAGCTCCGGATTCTGGGCCTGTTCATTCACCACAGACTCAGACCGGACTCCACTATAGCGAAACTCAAGAGAATAGGCCAACAGGTAGGGCGCATGATCCACCGCGTTTCCAACAAGCGGGGTGGTCTGCGGGGCAGGGACGCGCTTCGGCTCGCCCATGCCTTCGAGACTAGCCGGATCCTCTACGCCGTCCCATACCTTCGCACTAACAAGCAAGAAGACGAAAGAATAGACGCCATCATTCGTAAGGCTACTAAACAAGCTCTGGATCTCCTGGTGGCCACTTCCAACGCCAAACTGAGGGCGTTAGGTGTGCTCAACTCCTACCAGAAGTTGCGGGAGGCGCACCTTATGAATCAATATACGTGGCTCGTGCAGACGGCTCCCGGGCGCCGCCTGCTGAAACGCTTACACATACAGCACACTTGCACTGCCGAGGAGGCGGAGCGTATTCCGGAACTGTGGTGGCATATGCTCTCAGTCTCTCCACTCCCCAGTAACAAGGATAAGCACACGCACGAAAGCAGAAGACAGGCGCGGGCTCGGACGCTTGAGAGGCAACACGGCTCTCGACCTGGTGTATTCTACGTAGATATAGTAGGGCCTTCGCCCACGGGATTTTACACGGCCTGTGTAGTTCACCGGGAAAAGCATGTCAATGGGCTCTCGTTCCGAGCACAAAATCCAGAGCGCGCTGAGGAAGTCGCGATAGCGCTTGCTGCTCCGGACCCCAACTCGAAAGTTATCATCATGGACTCCCGGAAAGCATGTGCTCATTACTTTGTAGGAGAGATATCCACCCTAGCCAGCCAAATTTTGAAACGGGCTCTCGCTGATCCAGCCCCGAAACGCATCGTATGGGCTCCTGGACATCAGGGCTTACCAGGTAAAGAGGCCGCTGACACGGCCGCCCGAGCGCTTACCCACCGGGCTCCTCACCTTGGCTCTTATGACTCGGAGGCCAATACACCGCTGCTGCGGTTCAAAGAAATTCTGACCTATTATCGCGACACTCACCGCCTTTACCCGGCTCCTGCAAAGGGGCTGAGTAAGGCGGAAGAGCGAACTCTAAGGCGCCTGCAGACAGGTACTCTACTCTGTCCTGCAATCCTAAAACATTTCAATGCGAACACAGATGGGCGGTGCCCACACTGTGAGGAGACGTGTTATATCTTCCACGTGGTATGGGCATGTCCGAAAAATCCCCACTAACCCCCTTCCCCTACCCCTTCCCGAGAGGCATGGGAGACTGCCCTCCTCAACTGCTCATCACTAGAGTCTCAACGGGCTCTGGTGAGAGGGGCGCGAGTAGGGGCCTCGTCATGCGGTGTCCCGGACTAAGGACGCCGACCATGTACCGGGGTCATGCTTTGCCCCGTACCTCTCTCTTTTATAATAAATGTTTTTCATCATGGTACTGGTGCAAATATGATAAACATGAGATGCGTCTCATGTAACAACTTGATTACATGCTACGCTCTTGATGTGCTCGCGGCCGTTGCGCTAGCTTCGCATGTACCAAACTCGGTATTACGCTATGCGAATGGACGACATGAGTAAATGACACGTCCAAACATGATAATAGTGACATGCATGTCATGTAACAACTTGAGTACGTGCCACACTCATGACGCGCTCGCGTCCGTTTCGCTAGCTTCACATATGACACATTTCGTATTACGAGACGTCAGTGGATGACGAAATAATGTGTCTGGTGCAAACACAATAAGCATGACATGCGTGTCATGTGAGAACATGATTACATGCCACAGTCAAGATGCCAATACATTTAGACTCGATGCGGTGCGCGTGCTTGCTGGCGTTCATTTCGCTGCGTAACGTCGGCGTCGCCACGCCAGGCACCGGTCCTGCTATATACTCGCAGGCGCGCGCCGCAAGGCGTTGCTTTGACACATGCGCGTTGCAGAGCGTCCGGTGTCCCTGCCTTACGAAAAGAGGCAGTGGCAGTGTTGTCTGGGTAAAGGCATGTTGCATTTCGCGCCGGTTGCCTTCGGGCTGCGCCAACGGACACTAGACGCGTCTGGCGTGAGACTATAAATTGCTCGCGTTTTGCTAACGTTGCGCAACTGTGCACAGGGTGCGCGCGCGTTAGCGCTACATTAGAGTATATGGACCACTCATGATGCGCTCGCGGGCATTTTGCTGGCTCCACATATACCAAATTTCGTGTTATGGGACGTCGTTGGATGACGCAACATATGACTGGTTCAAGCATTATAATGCTGACACGCACGTCATGTAAGAACTTGGCAACAAACCACGCTCTTAGCGTGCTTGCGGCCGTTTCGCTAGCTCCACATATACTAAACTTGGTGTCACATGACGTGAATAGATGACCAAGATAAACGACACATCCGAACATGATTATCATGACATGGGAGTCATGTACGGCATCCTTTTACCTCCACCTCGTAACGTTCTGCTGATTTTAAAGTGACATATCAACATTTCTCATTCGTGCTTCGCATATCATCGATTCCCTCTGTACGTGGAATCTGCCAATTTTTTGTTTGCGTTTCTGGATGTATTTTATTTCCCCGCTTCTGCATGGGCCATGAAGGGCCTGCAGTATGTTCAAGCAAGAAAAATATTATAAGTTATTTTCTATCATGCATTTGATTGATTGAGTCTCCACTACAGCGGCTGCTTTTTTTATGGAGGCGAAGATGTTTGAGGCCCGTGTCCTTATATTTAGGAGCACATGAAAAAAACCCAGGTGTTCGAAATTTTGAGTCATTTACTGTGGCGTGTCTCCCGTATTCTTATCGTGGGTTTCCAGACGTTAAGCCCAGGATATTATCAAAATAATATATACATCATGCAGTTTCACAGGCGACCTAACACGGTAAACTTTATACCGGTAAGCCTGCTTCGTCAGGAACCGAAAAATGCAGTCTGAGGGGTGGGGTGGGGGGGCTATTGTTAGGTAGTACCAGTTCTTAGTTACTGTCTAAGTTGACTAGACTCCTGTCTAGGCATTTGATTTTTAATTCATACATTGTGCAAAAGGAAAGCATTATGTGCATGTCTCTGTTTATAGCGACAGTTCGCGTTGATTTGTTGACGAGGAACCTAAATCGTTTAGACCCACGTTGCGGTACCTAGAACAAATTCTCCCAGAGCACGTTTGAGGCTTATAGCAGTCACGACATCGGGTGATTAAAAAGGATCAATGTTTGCGCGGGAAGCCAGCCACCCTTTTATTTTAATAGTGGTTAGAGTTGAACCTTTCGCAACTCGGTTATTGATATGAGAGACGCTGTAAACGGGACTCCAGAAACTCCGACCACCTGCCGTTATTCAACATGAAACTAAGCCTAAGCACACAAGCTTCAGCATTTTCGCTTCGATGGGAAATGCAGCCGCTACGCTCGAGGTTCTATACCACGACCTGCGTGTCGGCATTCAAGCACCATAATAATTGAACCACCGTGGCGGTTGAGCCCCGCCGCGGTGGTCTAGTGGCTAAGGTACTCGGCTGCTGACCCGCAGGTCGCGGGTTCAAATCCCGGCTGCAGCGGCTGCATTTCCGATGGAGGTGGAAATGTCGAGGCCCGTGTGCTCAGATTTGGGTGCACGTTAAAGAACCCCAGGTGGTCAAAATTTCCGGAGTCCTTCACTACGGCGTCTCTCATAATCATATGGTGGTTTTGGGACGTTAAACCCCACAAATCAATCAATCAACCGTGGCGGTTGAACATAGTCTCAGTGTACTTGTTGTAGCTGTAACGGTAAATTGTTTCTTATCTGTTTATTGAATATTTGCATAGGCGTAACGGCATGCTTCTTTTTTTTTGAAGAAAACTGCCAAATGAGAACTATGTAACCTAGCGGCGACAAAATCTGGATTCATTTTAGGTCATGCAGCGACCTCGATAGTCACGGTTCAGCTGGTGCCAGGAATCCTACAGCGCTTCTGCGCATTGATGCAGAAAAGACTGCTATACTTGTGGCGCACACCCTTCCTGTTTATTACTGGTTGGATCCTGCCTGTTGTTATAGCATACATTGGTCTGGGCATTTTCGAGCAGAGGCAGTTCCAAGTGGCAACGGAACAAAGGTAATGTCTTTTCAGAGGGCCTACTCTGCCAAACTTTCAGGTGTCATTCTCGAAATATTCTAGAAAAACGTGGGCATAGCAAACTTTTTCTTCGAGATGCCATCAAAACACACGCATATGAAACGACGCAAGACAAGAAAATAATATTCTTTATTGCTACAGCCAGAGCACCAGCCTTTGTCAGAACAGTACCAGTAACAGTTAAAGTGCAGCACACGGGCATTGTTCGCGATTATATTTATTTATTTATTTTTTGTACCCTCAGGGCTTTACAGCATTGCAGAGGGGAGCGGGCACTGACGAACAATGTTAAAGAAAGGAATACATAGACAAGATACTAGAACATTATTAAACACTGGAAAGCAACTATTAACTGCAACTATGTTATACAGCCAGTAGATTATACAAGAAAACTAACAACAAAATCAAACGTTTACATTTCTAACACCAAGTATGTTATCGAGCGATGTTTTAAAACTGCAAGGTGAGGTGATGGATGCAACAGATTGTGGAAGGCGGTTCCAATCCTTGCAAGTTTTAGGCAGGAATGAGTGGGAATATGTTGATGTCTTGAAGAGAGGAACAGCAACTTTCTGCGCATGGTCAGTACGAGTTGAAATGTATGACGGTGGGGTTATTAAAAGTGAACGCAGAAGGGAGTTGTTGTAAATTTTGTGGAAGAGTACGAGACGGGATAACTTACGGCGTGTAGCGAGTAAAGGAATGTTAATAATTAATTTCATGTTTGTTACGCTAGCGGTACAGTGATAATCTCATAATATAAATCTAACAGCGCCATTCGGAATGCTCTCAAGTTCGTTAACTAAAGTGATATTACTAGGGTCCCATATCGATGACGCGTATTCCAAATGCGGACGAACGTACGTAATGTAAAGAAGCTTTTTTAAAACAACATGGGCCATGTAAAAGTTTCTTCGCATGAATCCTAGAACCCGGTTTGCCTTACATTTGACAGAGTTTATATGATGTTTCCAAGATAAGTTGTTAGTAATATGGACACCAAGGTATTTATAAGAGGGGACGGGATCGAGTACGGCGCTGTTAAGAAAATAATTTGGACATGCGGTAGTATTACGTGATACGCGCATAGACTTGCACTTCGAAACATTTAATTACATTTGCCATAATTTACACCAGTTAAGCACGTTAGTCAAATCTGATTGGAGAGTAGTGATGTCATTATTATTAGATATTTGGCGATAAATTATACAATCATCCGCGAATAGGCGCATTGTTGAAGAAATATTGTTAGGCAAGTCGTTAATGTAAATTAGGAACAGCAATGGCCCAAGGACAGACACCTGTGGCACTCCGGAGCGAACTGGTATAGTAGACAAGTCGAAATCGTTAGCCGATACGTATTGGGAGCGGTTAGTAAGAAAGCTACGGATCCAAGCGAGCACATATGAGTCAATTTTAATAGGCTTAGTTTATGTAGTAGTAGGGAGTATGTTACTTTATCAAAGGCTTTGCTGAAATCTAGAAAGATGCAGTCAGTTATTGTTCCAGAGTCAAGCGATATGTGTAAGTCATTGGTAAAAAGTAGAAGCTGTGTTTCACACGAATACTGTTTTCGGAAGCCATGCTCAGCGGGTGTAAAGAAATCATTGTCTTGATAAGGTGACAGAAAATGACAACTTGATAAGGTGACAGTAAATGACATGTTCTAAAATTTTACATGAACCACATGAAAAATTACGGACCACATGAACGCCATTTCCGAAAATGAAATACAAACGTCAAATAAAAAGTTGTAGTATTTGCCTGGTAATCATTCCATTCACATGTATGCTATAGTGTTTGCAAGTGCTACTCTTAAACTACGCGCAA